ACTGAGCTTCTGGGCAGTTTATAACAAAATTGAAAAAATATTAATACTGTGAATTAATTGTATTTATTTAATAAACAGTCCTTAAATTTGAAATTAAGTATTTACTCCTACTTAGTTATAAAATAATTCTGCTTTTCTAAAATAATTTTAAGATAACAGACATTTATGTATGGGTGTGTCTTTGGTTGCCAAATGTTTTTATTTTTCCGATTATTAAAATTCAACCTTGGAAATACAACCACAGAAGGTGTATTGAAATAAAGGGTAAGAGATCCCTAACCAATTGAAATAAAGTAATGTTCTCACTCTTACAAGAACTTCCCACTACCAAATGGATATATGAGGGGAATCTCTGCAATTAAATTACATATCTTCAGGGTTCTTTCTACTTCCAATATTCTCTGTTCTCTATGTAAACATCACATCTCCAATCCATGCATTGTGTGTAACATGATGGTAGTACACTGGAGTAACCATTCTTCAAGGTCTGCAGTCAGCTGTTGAACAATATATTACTCTTTTGCAATTATTTATAATACGCAATAAGATCCTAACCACAAACAGCTACATTACTGGAACTGTTTAGTATACTATATACAATGAACTTTAGTTTCATAAGAGAGTGTATATTCCTTAGTATACTGTCCATACTTCCTCTCCCTTCCTCAAATTGTTACTCGAGGCACTGACTTAATCCCTGGATCAGTAGCAAAATAAACATTATCTCCATCCAAGACCTTAAATGGCTTCTCTAGAATGATTATGGAATTGCCTCTTACAAACACACACACACGCACACGCACACACACACGAAAGAATTAAAGAACACATCACTAGAATATCAAAATAAGTGGCATTTTAATGACTATCATGAATGCAATATGAGCCAGTATTTTTTTTTTTAATCCTCACCCGAGGACATTTTTTGATATTTTGTTCAGATAGAGTGGGAGAGAGAGAGAGAGAGAAAAACATCGACGTGAAAGGGACACATCGAGTGGTCGCCACCCACACAACCCAATCAGGACCGGGGACAAACTGCAACCGAGGTACATGCCCTTAGCGGGAACCGAACCCGGGTCTCTCCAGACTGCAGGCCAACTGAGCCAGTATTTTAAATTGTGGGCTAACACATAATGTGTTTATATCTAAAGAATAAAATTTGAGGAAGAACTGGGATTATTTCCATAAGAACTCCCACTTCTTTGAGAAGGTACTATAAATTTATAAAAATGAAAATTATATTTCAAAAAAAAGTTTGGCTTTCCCCAAGAATCATTTAATAAGCATTAATAGTTGTGAATATAAGTAACTGACAATGTCCGTTACTTAACTGGTACTCAATTAAGCATTTGCCAGGGAAATACATGGTAAATGACATGTCTTGTACTTCTCCAAAGGGGGAAGAGGTCCTAAAATTTTATGCACCGCTAGCTTTCAAGATGTCAACAGGCTGGTTCGTTAACATATGGTTCCTCAGTTTAAAACATTTCCCCAAAATCTGGAGATGCAAGTGAGGCAAAGGCCTGGGCCCACAACTGGCAGGGACTGAGCCTCTCCTGGAGGCAGGTTCCTTGTAAACAAGATGAAGATAATCCAATCTCCTTCACAGGCTTACTGCAAGATTAAATGATGCTATACAATGGGAAAAAAAGTTTTTTTTTAATCCTCACCCGAGGACATTTTTCCAATTTTTGCACAGACAGAGTGGGAGGGGGAGAGAGAGAGAGAGAAAAACATCGACGTGAAAGGGACACATCGAGTGGCTGCCACCCGCACGACCAACCAGGGCCAGGGACAAATTGCAACCGAAGAACGTGCCCTTAGCGGGAACCGAACCCGGGTCTCTCCGGACCGCAGGCCGACGCTCTAACCGCTGAGCCAAACCGGCCAGGGCTACAATGGAAAATATTTAACAGACCTGGTACAGAGTGGACATCTGAATATTTGCCTCCAATCCCTATTAGGCAAACGCTATTTTAATCAGGACTATATCCATTGCCGCTGTGCTGATTAATTTTATGTGTCACTTGGCTAGGCCACAATAACCAGATTTGGTCAAATATTATTCTAGATGTTTCCGTGAAGGTATTTTTTTAGATAAGATAAACATTTAAGTTACTAGAATTTGAGTAAAGCACCTTTCTTGGAGGAAGTGGGAACTCTGCCACCTGGCTGGAACTGCAACTCTTCTTTTGGTCCCCAGATTTTGCACCTGCCATCCTTCACAACTATGTGAAGCCAGCTTCTTTTTTTTTTTTTTTTTTTTTTTTTAATTGATTTGAGAGAGAGAGAATGTGAGCCAATTTCTTAAAATCTCTTCCTCTCTCTCTCTCTCTCCACACACACACACCCTATTGGTTTTTCTTCTCAGGAGAACCCTGATCAATACAACACACATGCCATCAAATTCACCCCTCAGTAAATTATCTCATCACTAAATATCTATAATCACCTTACCCTGTTTTTTACATTATTTTTTTATAAAATGATATCTCAATGAATAGATCCTACAGAAATATAAACAACCTCCTTAAGAATTCAGTTAGCAGGGTTGATAAGAAACATCTTTCAAAAACTACATGCCAAGCACAGCAAGTAGCTGAGTATTCCACAAACATCTCTTTGAGGGGCTTCCAAGGGTCTTCATGCACCTGAATTACAGAGGGCTAAATAAACATCAGGAAAAGTGAAATGAACTGTGTTTCCCTTAACCATGGCAGTTTGTCCTCCTCTGTGGCTTTTTCTCTTTCAGTTCCCTTGTCAACACAGCAGTTCCCTGGTTATTCTGCTGACTTGAATATGGTGTTGAGTTCCTCTAGGAAGTTTGATATTTCTCTTTTGGTATCTCTTCATCTCCAGAATTTCCATTTCTAACTCCCTATTGAGATTCTCCATTTGTTGAGTCATCATTATCATGCTTTCCTTTAATTCTAGACACATGGGTCATTTAGCTCTTAGAATATATTTATAATAGCTGCTTTAAAAATCTTTGTCTGTAGAATTTAACATTGGAGACCATCAGAACAGCTTCTATTGCCTCCCCCCCCACACACACCAATATATCACACTTTCCTGTATTTTGGCATGTGTCACAATGTAACAATTCTGGAAATCTGTCTTCCACCACAATGTGAGGTCACTAATGCCTCTGTTTAGTTTTACTTTTAATTCTTATTTTTATTTTATTGCCCCTGTGTCCATGTAGCTTAGTGGTTTAGCCAATGATTCAACAAAGAATTTGCTCAAATACTCTAAGTTAATATAGGCTGTCATCCATTCCAAAAGAATCTATGTGTGGACAGGGGAGCACATTCAACATTCAGAACATTTTCAAGCCTCCCAGATTTTAGTTTCCCCTGGACCCTTTGATGGATTCTCTGCACATACAGGAAGCCACCCCCCTCACAACTCATACACCCCCAAAACCAAAACTCCCACGGACACTGCTGCTAGGCATGGCAACACCTCATCCAAGTTCAATGAGCATCTTCCAACCATAGAAGGGACAGTGCCAGTCCTCATGACCTTCCCCACCCTTGAAGAATCAACCAAGTTGAAAGGAAAAAAGGGTGGAGTGTGATGGGAGCAACTCCAGGCATGAATGCCACAGATTACCACTGTTCATACTCAAAGTTTACCAGTTTCTCCAACATGAACACTCTTCAGATTGTTGTAAGCCATCAGTTGAGTTCCAGAGCACTGAAATGGTTGTTTCTCCTATTTTGCAGATGACCTTAGTTCCAAGTCACAAACTTCCATTGTTCTTAAATGTATTTATACCACTTTCTGTTCTACTGCTATCACTTTATAACCTACTTTGGAAGTCCTTACTCTTCCACATGTACTGCAAAATGTTCCATTCCTTTAGATCCGGCATATTGTGCACATTCTGCCCTTAATCCACGCCTTCTGCCCTTAATCCACGCATCCTAATCTCTACCTTTGCTGAATTCCTATTAGACATCATTATTTCATAATTATTTTCTGTGCTATACATTTTTTCCCAGCCACATCCTTAATCTTTGGGGCAAGGAATTGGGTTTTCATGCTTTTTTGTATGCTGGCATAGTGCTAAGTACATGATAAATTTTTACCTACTTCAACCCCAACATTTACATTTCTAACACATGTAGTCAAACCATTTCCCTAGAAAGCACAATTAAGACTCTAAGATCTAATCATGTTACACCATTAACACATTCTTCCCTTCGCCTCTGTGTCCACGATCTAAAGTGCACACTATGGCCCGGCCAGTGCGGCTCAGTGGTTGAGCATTGACCCATGCACCAAGAGGTCTCAGGTTTGATTCCCGGCCAGGACACATATTCAGGTTGTGGGCCCAAGAGGCAGCCAATCGATGTTCTCCCTCATCGATGTTTCTATCTCTCTCTCTCTCTCTTTCTCTCCCTTCCTCTCTTTCTCTAAAAATCAATAAAGAGCCCTGGCAGGTTTGGCTCAGCGGTTAGAGCATCGGCCCACAAACCGGAAAGTCCCGAGTTCAGTTCCCACTAAGGGCATGTACCTCAGTTGCAGTTTGTCCCCGGGCCCTGGTTGGGGTTGTGTGGTTGGCAGCCACTCGATGTGTCTCTCTCACAACGATGTTTCTCTCTCTCTCTTTCTCCCTCTCTCCCTCCCGCTATATCTGAAGATAAATACAAAACTGTCCTCGAGTGAGGACTAACAAAAAAAAAAAAAATCAATAAAGAAAAAAATGTTTTTTAAATAAAATAAAATGAAGTGCACATTATGAGCTGAAAGCATGTGACAGGGATTACCAGTTGCCAAGCCTAATGTCCATTTTAATCGTCTTCCTTACTGATAAAACTTTAATCATTCCCAGCTTTCCTTGCAGTTAGGAGTTCAAAGTGAAGAGATGCATTAACTGAAAAGACAGTGGTCATCTTAAGATCATTCAGCAAATGGGTCATCAAAGTTCCCCTCTGAAATCACAATATAAACGTTTAATAAGGGTTCAAAGAATTTTAAATTTCCCTTACCCAGAAGATCCAGTGCTCTTACAGACACCAAGGAGGGGCCTTTTTTCTGCAAAGTTGTCACACTTCTGAGCACCTGATAAGGACATAAAATGTAAAATAAAACTTTGAGACGTATTCTTACATAATGCCCATTATTTTCATGCTCTCAAAATGTTCACTAATTACCTAGGAATAGTATAATCTTGGTATCAAAAGAAAATAAAGGTAGGTCAGGACAGGAAAATTATAAAATAATAGGCCATTCTCAAAACACAGAAACATAAAAATCCTTTAAAATATTATTAAACTCAATAGTAATGTTTGGCTCAGCGGTTGCGCGTCGGCCTGCGGACCAAAGAGTCCCAGGTTTGGTTCCCGCTAGGGGCACGTACCACAAAAAAAAAAAAAATCAATAGCAATGTATTACAAAAAACAAAATCTTATAAACAAATTGAATTTACTAAAGTAATAGTAATACTTTTACATTACAAAACAAGTTAATGTATTCATCATATTAACATTTCAATAGATGCAGAAAAAGCATTCAATTAAATTATTTAGTCATGATTAGAACAACAACAACAAAAAAAATTCTTATCCTAACAATGCCTATCTACAAAAGACCTACAACAAATGCCACCACTAATGTTTCACAGCATTCCCATTAAAATCAGTAATAACACATTCAACCTTATACCGAAAGTCCTTCTCAGGATCATATAATAAATAAACTCAGAAATATTACTGGATATGAAACCAATATAATAGCAGCAACAGGCAGAAAAACAAACTCAGGAAATGCAAACATATCTAAATCACAAAAAAAGATAGGCTCAAGCTCTGGTGGGTTGCTAAGTGGTTAGAGCACCAGCCCTCGGACTAGAGGGTTTCAGGTTCAATTCCCAGTCAAGGGCATATGCCTGGGTTGCAGGTTCGATCCCCACTGGTAGAGGTCGTGCATGAAGCAACCAATCGATGTGTCTCTCTCTCCCTCTCTCTCTTGCCCCACCCTACCCCTCCCTTCCAATCTATCTAAAAATAAGTGGAAAAACATCCTCAGGTGGGGATTAACAAAAACAAAACAAAAAATGAAGTTCAACCTTACACACGAGAGAAAGTCCACTTAAAACTATATTGAAACTTGCTAATTTTTAGAAGTGATAAATGGTACTGTGGTTATATTTTTATCATCCCTTATCTTTTAGAAATAAGTAATGGTATATTAACCAAGAAACTGGTATGATACCTGGGATGTGGTTCAAAATATCCTGGACGGAGGGAAACAGATTCCAATGAAAGAAGATTACCCATAAAATGATGAGTGATGGGTTCTCAGAGATCGTTATACCATTTTCACTACTTTTAAATAAGTTAGAAATTTTCTATTTAAAAATTGATATATGTTGACCTTTACCTAAAAGATTCTCACAAAATCCAAAACTTTTGTAACATTCTCTGACTATATAAATCAAAATTGTAAATGCAAATATCCTTTAATCAAGAAATATCATTGCTAAGATTTCATTCCACATATATACTCAGCCAGGTGGAAAAAAACTTGTATACACAATTATTTACTATGGCAATGTCTGTATTAGCAAAAGACTAATAAAATCTAAATATATAATGTAGTATTTCCTAGAACTGTAAAAGAATAAAGACATGCTCTAAGAAAACATGGAATGAGATCCACAACATAAAATAGAGAAAGGAAAATATACAATGATAGGAAGATAAAGAATAATATCTCAGCCCTGGCTGGTTTGGCTCAGCAGTTGGAGCATCAGCCCATGGACCGGAGAGTCCCGGGTTCAGTTTCCACTAAGGGCACAAACCTCGGTTGCAGTTTGTCCTCAGCCCTGGTTGGGGTCATGTGGGTGGCAGCCAGTCGATGTGTCTCTCTCACATTAATGTTTCTCTCTCTCTCTTCCTCCCTCTCTCCCTTCCGCTCTATCTGAAGACAAAAGCAAAAAAAAAATGTCCTCGGGTGAGGATAAAAATAAAGAAGAATATCCCATATTTTATATAACAAGAGGAAAGAAAGACATATTTTTGCATATATATTTGCATATATACATATTACACACACTACAAGAATACCTAAAAATATCTTAACTAATGGCTACCTATGTGGGGAGGCTGAAAAGCAGAAGATAGGAAATGAAAATGATAGAAAAGTTTTCATTTTATATATATTACATTACACTTTTTAGTTTTCTTCTTTCTTTTTCTTTTTTTAAATCCTCATCAGAGGATATTTTTCCATTTTTATCTTCAGATAGAATGGGGGGGAGGGGGGGAGGGGGGGAGGAAGGAAGGAAGGAAGGAAGGAAGGAAGGAAGGAAGGAAGGAAGGAAGGAAGGAAGGAAGGAAGGAAGGAAGGAAACTGGTTCACTGGTGTCATTGACTGGTTGCCTCCCACATGCCCCAACCAGGGCCGAGGATGAATCACAAACAAGGTACGTGCCCTTGACCAGAACTGAACCCATGACTCCTTGGTCTGCAGGCCAATGCTCTAACTGCTGAGCCAAACCGGCCAGGACTACACTTATTAGTTTTCAAATCATATAAATTCCTGTTACATTTTGCTTTGTTTTTAAATAAGGAGTCAAATGCCAGAAGAGATAGTGGTTAATTCAACTCTGAGATAAGCAGGTAACTGAAGACAGGCATTTCACTTTATTCCTTCTAAAACTTCCAATAAACGTATATTAAATCAAATAAGGTTTTTTTTAAAAAAGACGCAATAACACCAAGAAATATTTAAAATAGATGACTGATGACTAACTTAGCAGTGCTCAATAAGTGTTCGAGGCACTCCTGGGGAAAAATAAAACCTGAGACAAACTCTTTGACACATAATACTGGGTACACCCAAGATTTATCCTTGTACAGTTAAAAACTTGTAAAGGAACTTTTAAGTCATCTCTGGATAATTTAACAAGTTGGTCCATGAAGATGAACTGAAAGACACTTTCAATTAGAAAGCTCCAAACAATACAAGCAAAGCACCAAACAATAAAGTAAAAAAAATCAGTGGTTATCAGGAGCTTGGGGGAAGAAGGGATTAATAGCTAAAGCACAAATGTTTAGGAAAGTGAAAGTACAATGATGGGTACATGGCATTCTTCATTTACCAGAACCCACAGAATATACACCACCAACAGGGAACTGTAAGGTAAAATACAAACTCTGGATGATAATGATATGCCAATATAAGTACCAATGTGGAAAAATGCGAATAGTGGGGGAGGGGTGTGGGAACGGGGGGTGGGGGAGGGGGGTACAGGAACCCTCTGTGCATTATATTCAGTTTTGCTGTATAACTAAAACGGCCCTTAAAATATTAACTTTAAAAAGATGTACCTACCTACTGAACACCCCATGTTCACTACAGCATTATTCACAATAGCAAATAATTGGAAGCAACCCAAAGGTCCAATGATGGATGAGTAGAAAATTAAAATGTGGTATATACACATAATGGAATATTATCCAGACTTTAAAAAGAGGTAAATCTGGCCCTGGCCGGTTTTGCTCAGCGGTTAGAGCATGGGCCTGCGGTCCACAGAGACCCAGGTTCGGTTCCCACTAAGGGCCTCTATCAGTTGCGGTTTGCCCCCGGCCCTGGTTGGGTTGTGCAGGTGGCAGCCATTCGATATGCACCTTTCACGCCGATCTTTCTCTCTCTCTCTTTCTCTCTCTCTCTTTCTCTCTCTCTCTTCCTCGCTCTCCCTCCCACTCTATCAGAACAAAAAATGAAACAAATGTCCTCGGGTGAGGATTAAAAAATAATAATAATTTAATAAATAAATAAAATAAAAAGAGGTAAATCCTGTCATGTGTCACATGTTACACATGAATCATGAGGACATTATGCTAAGTGAAATAAGCAAGTCACAAAAAGACAAATACTCTATTATTTCACTTATCTGAAGCTTCTAGTCAAACTCATAGAAATAGAAAGTAAAATGTTACTAGGGGCTGGGGGGTGGAGGGAGAAATGGAGAGCGGTTGTTCAATGGGTACTGAGTTTCAGTTTTGTAAGCAGTAAAAGTTCTAGAGATCTGTGAATGTATTTTTTTTTTTTTTTTTTTATCCTCACCCGAGGACATTTTTTTTCCATTTTTTGCACAGATAGAGTGGGAGGGAGAGAGAGAGAGAGAAACATCGACGTGAAAGGGACACATCGAGTGGCTGCCACCCACACGACCAACCAGGGCCGGGGACAAACTGCAACCAAGGTACATGCCCTTAGCAGGAACCGAACCTGGGTCTCTCCGGACCGCAGGCCAATGCTCTAACCACTGAGCCAAACCGGCCAGGGCTGTGAATGTATTTTAACACAGCTGAATGTATACTCAAAATTTTGTAAAGATGGTAAATTTTATGTTATGCAATTTTCACTACAATTAAATTTTTTGAAAAAGGTAGGAATAAGTTGTGTGTATAGTTACATACATACACAGATATTTAGTTACATTGAGCACTAACTGTATAAACACATAAAGATAAACACCAATTTCAAGATAGGGATATACCTCTTAGGGAGTCAGGATGAAGATATTTGGAAGAGATATCCAGAGGACTTTAGCACTTTTCATTTTATTTTAGAGAGGGAGAGAGAGAGAGAAACATCGATGAGAGAGAACATTGACTGGCCTCCCTCGGCATGCCCCCCACTGGGGATTGGGCCCACAACTTGGGCATGTGCCCTGACTGGGAAACGAACCGGCAACTTCTTAATATTTATGAATAAAGTTCTTAATAACTATTTGAACTTTTTAGGAGCTGTAACAATCGGTGTTTAAGTCTTGACAACTCATTAATAACTATGGATTGTGTGCTGTTACTCCTGCGAAACAAATATATCAGATTTCACAATTAACAGAATAACTTGAATGAAGCATAAGTTAAAAATTAACTGGTCCAAAGCCCACAATATTTATGTTCTAAATTGAGTATAAGTGAACAAGCCCATCTATACAAGCCCATCTATACTCCTACCTATTTCACCATCACCTTTAACAATAGCTTTTTTCCTTCTGCTTCCTGGTGTCTCCAAGGTCTTCACAGCTTTTGAAGTAGTATATT